AACGTTCGCAGAGCAAGGTTTTCAGGGTCCTTGCTACAGTAGGCCGGAAAATTCCCTCCACTCTTGGCCATATCGGTCGGAGAAAAAGCCATGACAGGTGTAGCGAGGAAGTTGGTCGGAGCGGCGAGGTTTTGAAGGCTCCGCGAATTACTTGGGTCAACCAAAAAACCAAGGGGAACACGAAAGCGGCACACTCGTGGGGGGGTTGCCTACCATGGTCTCGAAGCTACGGGCTCTGGTGGTCGCAAACCCTTTGAAACTTGACAGAACAGTTATTCAGCATACATGCGCAAACATGGGTCACGTGCCGATGATAAGTAGCTAGAACCAGATTTTCGTGCCGAGAGCAGACGATCAGACGATACGTACTTGTACCTCTCACTCCATAGTTCATGCATCGAGGTTAATCTGGGTGATGACGTTTGCCTTCCCTGTCAACTTTCTGATGAAAAGTGGGGTGCTTGTGCGGTGCTCTATCAAAATACACCAGATCTCACAGCCCCCACCTACGAACATCACGAGCAAACAAAAGAACAACGTTTATCAAGAGATGACACCAGAGGTCTCACACAACCCCCACCTACGCAAGCAATGACAAAATACCCGGCCCCAAATCCCCAACCTGCGCACACACAAACAAGAAAAAAACGAAAGCACCCGCAGCATCAAACACACCTTGATGCTTCCGCCGGCGTTGAAGAACTCGCACTTCGCCAGGAGCTCGCACTCCAGCCCTTCCTCCTGCGCGATGTGCTTGATGCGGATCATCGGCGTGTCCCCGACCTTCTCCAGCGCATTCTCCAGGATCTTTCCCCGCTTCGGCCTTCCCGCCTGGATAGCATGGGTTGTTTTGCGCGCGAGCGGACGGCGGCGCCCGTGCCCGGTTCAGCTTTGCGCCCCCGCCCCACCCACCCAGCGAGGACTGCCGTCGCCAGAAAAAAAAACATGGCTAAGTAGGACAGGGAGGGAGAACGAGACCCTAACCCAAGACAAAACAAAACCCTGCGAAGTATACTGCCCGGCGCATACCCTCTTCTGTCAGCGTACAGTGTACCCCCAAACTCAAGCTTTGAGACACCGTCCCACTCACCAAAAGCGCACGCCTTCTGCTATCTATGCACCCCCCAAACAAAGGGGGGGGTGTGGTCTCCCCACTCAACCATATACAATGGATCAAAGCTTGACCTCAATGGTTGGACACCGCCACCAGAGGAGATGAGGCGAGCACACAAACTCGGGTCAGGATCTCGTGAGCCTCTTGTCTAGAGAAGCTACTTAGCTCCTTGGTCACGCCTTTAGTCCGTTGCGCCATCTTGCTTCACATTCCTTCTGCTCTGTGTTTTGTTCAACAAAACTACAGCACCTTGTTCGTACTGCTTAGGGTGCTCGAATATAATAGCATAGCCACGCCAGATACCTCTCTTTCCTTCTGTAATTGGCGCGCTTCCTCCCAGCGCGCTGTCCACTGTTCATTCTTGCGTTTGGTCTACTATGCATACGCCAGATCGCTTTATTTCCTTCTGTACTTGCGCTTCTTCCTTTCCACGCGCGTTGTCCACTGCTGTTCATTCTTGCATTTCTCAGGTCGTTTGCTTCGTGTCTCAGGGCGTTTGTTTTCGTGCAGCTTCTTGTCACGCTTCTTGATCTACCTCGCAACGTCTTTAGATCAATGTTCTTCCGTTCTAAAAGATGCGTAAGTGTTTACCCTCTTTGGCATTGGCTATGCCGTGTTCGCTGGGAAATGTGTTCCCGCTATTCCACGGGAATCAGGAGTCGCCGCGAAAATAATGAAAATCCGACAGCAGACCAGGCAAGACGTATGTAGGCAACGAGAAACCAAGTAGACGGGAAAACCGCTTATTTTCCAAAGGAAGACCGCGAACAGAGTTGCGGAAGTTGCGGAAGGCGCGCTGGAAAAACCTGGGCATGTTGGAACTACAAATAAAAAAATTCGAGAGTTTGGGCCTCTCTAACAAAAGGATTTGCGGATAAATCCCACCTATTCCCATCGACAACGATACGATTCCTGCATGCCGCTACAGCAGTACGGGGCCCTGAATAGTGCCGGTATGTGTGTTTTACCGCTATACCAGACACCGGCACTCTTCAAAGTACAGAACGACTTTGGTATTTCAGTGTGTGCGAGCCGAAAAAACGGGCACCATACCACGCACCCGGCACATCGACCGACATATATATACAGCGCCCGCACGCACATATTTATCATTGTCGCCTGAATAACGAACGTCAACGAGAGACAGATGAAAGCTGCTACATACCCAAGGATTGCGACAACTTTGCCACCTTTCACGGACGGGAGAGCGTGAAACGTGGGGACTGATTGTTGCAAAGGTGGTTCAAGGTTGAAGTCTTCTCCTCAGGACAACGAAACGAGAGGACATTCGACCATGATACTGGTATTTTGCTTTTTTTTTGTGCAAATGAATATAGGTAACTGCTGAAGTTTTTGCGCAAAATAGTACCACCGCCCACGCGTTGTTGTTTTTTGTAGTATCTGTCGTGCCCTTGTGATAGAGAATCTTGGGAGGCAAAAGGAAGATCATGCACGCCCAAAACGGAAAACGCACTTGCAAGTTGAAGACAAAAAGCCAGTGCCCCTGTCGACAAATTTTCGAATTCGGCGCTCAAACTCATCAATCTTGGATAGAAGAGGCCCCTGCGGCCAGCGGCTCTAGTATTGGTTGCATTCAAATACATCATTCATCGGAGAGAGAGCTTAATGTTTGCCAGGTGACAGGACGGGGTAGCGGTCCATTTTATCTACTCTTTTAAGACAAAACGAACGCGTGCATTTTGTTTATCTCTCTCCCTCGGTCTTACCATGATATGCGGGCACTTTTCTGACGCCTTGCTCGTGCTGTAGGTGCAGCGTGGTGCTATGATCGCGGAAGGGTGGCCGTTGCTGGTCCCTTTCCCGTCATCGGAAGGCGCGGACGAAGCGACCGTGTGCCTCGCCTTCTTTACACTGCTCATCGCGGCGGCCGCTGTGGAAGTAGCACCTGCCTCTATTGAAGCTGCTATTAGAAGAAGAGGAAGGTGCTGTTTTCTCCTGGGCAACAAGCTTCCGTCTCTCCTGCCTCGCTTGCAATAAACTGCTGCTGTGTGATCTGGATGATGCACGACCAGCTGGCTTGCTTTGTTCCGGCTCACGCCCCCAGCCCCCCCCCGTTACTCAAAACTGTGTGTCCGCAGTCCCCCTCCCTCCGTCTTGCGTCGCCAAACTGAGAAGTCACAGCAGTTCGCCGTTTGCATGTAATCCATCCATGCTGTCACCCGCCATTAAGTCCACAATACAACTGTTCCCAGCAATTGAGAGCGTGAAGGTTATCTTTTCTGCGAGACTAGACACTAATTCTGCCCATGGTGCGTGCGGGTAAGTTGGCGGCTGGCGAAAGCGAGGCGGTCCTGGCGCTCGGGAGCCGCACTACAACCTTGCACCCTGAGCTCAAGAGGCATCGCGCGTGGTGGAGAGAGATATTGAGCAAGAATGTGCTCCGGACGCTGGCCGAGCGCGTCGTCTCCCCCCCTGCTGCTGAGAAGGTATGTACGGGTGTGCGACGTCGGGGAACAACGAGAGAAATACAATATTGTATTTGAAAACACACACACAAATGTTGCGGCCTATTGACAGCAGGAATTCGGCATCACCCTGGGTACCGCTAGCTGCTGCTGTGTCGAGCTTCCGCAGAAAGGTGGCACCGTGAGCCGTCCTGTTTATAGGATTGCCGCACGGTGTACAGAGTGGCACAGCGGCTTGAGTCCTGTTCGTTTATGTGGTGAACGCTCGACGTTCAAGCCTGTTGCTCGATTCGGGCGGCGTACCTCGCGCGGTAGCTGTATGGATGCGCCGAAAAAAGCAGGGAAACAAACCCCGAGTAACTGGAATGGCGTCATGTATAGTACTGCTGTGTGTTGCGAGGGCCAGTGTGTATTTGCCTTAACAGCAGTAGGGACGTATGGTAATGTTTTCGAAGTATTGTTGTGCACATTCCCAGTGCTCGGGGTGGATTCCGGGGGAGACTCGAGATGACGGGTGTGACCGCAAACCTAGCCCTACATGAGGGGGACGAGTCTCTGCAGTTCAACTGCCGTGCGATTTCTTTCACACGTGCCGTTTTCGCGTTGATTCGACGGTGTGTGTCGCCATGCCGTACTACGGCGGCACATTGGTGTCTCTTGACCGAACTCAGAACAAAACAAAACAACTCGTGTTCATATCTGTATGGCGGTGCTAGCAAGTGTTTGTCTCACCTTGAATATGCACGACGCCAATTCACCGGCAAGGCCATGGCCATGCCCCGCAACAAGCCCCCCCCCCCCCCCCCCCCCCCCCCCCCCCCCC